GGGGGGGGGGGGAGGGGGGGGGGGAGGCGGGGGCGGTGGCGGGGGTGGGGGGGGGGGGGGGGGGGGGGGGGGGGCAGCTTATCATAATAATCAAACAAAAACCAATGGTTGGAGAAAAAGTCTGAAACAAGTTTCGCCGCTATTTGGCACAAGAGCGGCATAATACTAAACAAAACAACTTACACAAGAAAAAGAAAGCAGCATAGTGTAAGTGTAAGACACGCATCGCAACAGAAAACAAAAGACACTACACGTTAGGCAACGTTCCTTGCTACTAAGGCAACAAACGTAAGTCTGTAGTAGTATAAATGCAAAGGGGATAGAACAGCGCAATTCGTGCAAATAAAAGACGATAGAAAAGAAGGGTAAGAAGTTCGTTGTTACTGAAACCGCGTTCTAGTTTCTTTTTCGGAGCATTATGTGCGAGTATTAATATCCATCAGGTCTTGCGATGTTACTCTTTGTATCGGACGAAAGAGAAAGATCGTAATGTTATGCAACAAAAGGAATATATGAAAGCAGCAGAACTGTATTGAAAATCTGCGTGCGAGCTATCACAGACCTGAAGGTATTCGTCCAATTCGACTTGACCGTTCATATTAGTGTCGATTTCGCGTAGAATTTCATGAAGCTCTTCGCCAGGTACTTCCTTGTCACCGAAGAGCTGTGAATGGTAAAATGGTAACTATTAAATGGATGTTCTGTCTATTTACCTGCAGGTAGTCTTGTAGTTCCATTTGCCCATTGTAATTGAGATCAATTTCATTGAGCAAAGTGTGCATCTCATCTTCTGTTAGCTTAATGTCAAGTACCTGGACATTGACAATTACATGATACCCAGTGGACAGGAAGAGAAAAGAAATAGAAAAAAAGAAGTATTGTACGCGTAAGTACGATACCGTATAGTTTATACGTACCTTGAGTCCTCGCCTGATATCATTGATGGATACGTATCCCTTGTTATCCTTATCGATGATACCGAAACGTTTGATGTACAGCTGTATCTCTTCTTTGGTTAGGTTGATGGGTATCTTGTCGCGAGAAGCACGGTTCACCATCGAACCCATTTCGTTGGCAAGGAAATCGCTGGCAATTTTGTGCTGTTTCTTCTTTTCGTCCTCCGACCAGTGCAGTTCTTCCGCCATTATGTCTATGATACCCGGAAGGGCTTCCTGCGCCGCTTGAACGTTGAGGAACGCTAATCTCAATCTTCGCGCGATCATATCTATAGTTGTCCTTGCGTATTCACGAACTCCGTATCGAATCTAAAAGTCAATTAGACGATCGGTCCAATCGGTTTCGGATCGAACGGATTCGTCGAATATCTCACCTCGGCATCGATATACGGAAATTCAGGATGAATCTTCTTGCCGATGATCGGCCACCGTTTGCCTGTGAGAGAAGCCATCTTGGCCACGGCGAAAGCTCGATCCCCGTAGCTCTTGGCCAAATGTTGGGCAACTTCGCATTCCAGTCCAAAATCTTGTACCAATCTGATGTACATGGTTGGTCCCCAGCCATGAGCGCCCTCCAGAAGAAGTTCTCTGGTTTGACAGGGTCTCTCCGGTGTTAAGCTGCAAGCTGAACAATTTCGTCACGGAATTATTAATAAAATTTCAATAATATCGCGAATGTGTGTTGAAACTTTAAATTGTGGGAATACTCGTGGATAGAACGGAGTTGGACCGGGAGACGCGTCGTTGTGCATCGTTTGTACATCGGGTTGCTATGCCACGGGCGCGCCGTTGTACATCGGGTTGCCAGGCTACAGGCGCTCGCGCGGAAACGACCCAACTTAACTTAAAGTTAAGCGAATATGTGCGTGCGCGTGGATCATAAGGAAGTACCTTTGATGGCTTCGTCGATCGTTTCTTCGGCCATCGCTCTATAAGTTGTCCATTTGCCACCGGCTATCGTGATTAGTTTCGTGGGACTAACATGTACAATATGATTTCTAGCCAACGATTGCGTGTTCGGCTTGTTCGGGTCGGAGACGAGCGGCCTGATGCCACTCCACGCAGACAGCACGTCCCCTCGACGCACTTCAACGTCCGGGTTCAGGTAATTCTTGACCTCGTGTAGGATGAACATGATCTCGTCCTCGGTCGGTCGGGGATTATGCGTGATGTCACAGGGCAAATCGGTCGTTCCCGCGATAGTTTGCTTCTGCCAGGGAAGGAAGAAGATAACACGGCCGTCGCTGGTTGCCGGGTCTAGCAAACCCATTTGGTCGGGACTGTAAGAAACGTGTACTACAATGAATAGAGTGGTTCGGTTTTGGGAACTCGATAGAATCTTAGAGGATCGTTTACCTGTAGTAACCGGGAAGAACGATATGAACGCCGGAAGAGGGTGCGCAAATAGTTTTGACGCTCTGATCGTCCATTTTTCTGATATGATCCGTGAACGGCCCGGTCGCGTTTATAATCGCTTTCGCTTTCACGTCCCATTCTTCTCCGGTAAGCTCGTCCCTGACGCGAGCGCCGGTCAGTACTCGATTGCCATCCTTCGACAAGAATTTATTTCACGAAGATAAGAACGCGGTCTATAATATAACCTCTACAACTAACAAGCAACAAATAAGCACGGATCGATGGGAGTACCTTATCGAGACCTTTCAAGAGATTAACAACCGAAACGTGATTCACTACCGTCGCACCGTGTCGAGACGCGGTCAGAGCTACCGCCAAGTTCATCCTGGCGTCGTCCTGCTGACCTGAATCCATCGAAAAGGTACAAGGAGATTATAACGATCGACACGTGCCGACGGAAAAGAAAGGCACAGCGTACCATCGTAGTAGACGATGGCTCCTGTGAGCTTATCTCCTTTCAACATCGGGAACAGTTCCAACGCGTTCGATTTGCTGAGGAAGTACGACGACTTGACCGTTTTTGATCCAGCGACGATATCGTACATCTTTATGCCGAACCAATAGTAAGGAATTTGCCACCACCTGTTCGAGCAAAGACGAGTATAATAAACGGATTTTGCGAATGCCGAATTTTCAAGCGATGCTCGACGTACGTGTAAACCGGTAACATGATGGGCAAAGGATGAGCCAAATGGGGCGCGTTGTGGAGCATCGAGGCGCGCTCCTGTAACGCCTCCCTGACCATTTTATACTGTTCCATGTCCAGTTGCATGATGGCTTTCTGTAGATAGCGTACTCCCCCGTGAATCAGTTTCGTGCTTCTCGACGAAGTGCCGGATGCGAAATCATCCCCCTCTATCAGAGCTGTCTTCAGACCTGTGCGAGCAAATCGTGCGTATAAGATACAATGTTTCCAGGAAAGCCGCGCATTATCGTTACCTCGTGTACAGGCATCCAAGGCGCATCCTGCGCCAGTTGCTCCTCCGCCGACGATAAGAATATCGTATTCGCCATGAGTTTTCAGGGTCTTGACTTGGTCCTCGCGGGTCGGTAGAGGTCTTTTTGTTGGTCTGGTTTTCGATTTTTCCGTATATACCTGCAACAAGGGGAGCGATGATACATACATACATACATACATACATACATACATACATACATACATACATACATACGTACGTACACGCGTACACGCACGCCGGGTGAGATATTTTTAATCAACTCGAACCGGAGTAACTATTTTAGCATCCGCCAGCGAAGACGGGCTAACCGATTGTTCGATGCGTTAGCCAATGTATTAATGATACGGAAATCAGTGTTCAGCCGGCGTTCAACGAACGCACAGCGATCCGGAAATACGCTTTTCGTCGCTTAAATTACTTTAGCGCATTACTTATGCTTGGAAATGTTCTACCATAAAAATTACCATCAATTTCCCGTCCACTGCGAAGCTTTCGACCCATAGGAGTCGCACCGTTTGTAGGGGCGAGAAGGAATTGAGAACGATTTGTCGGCACGTTAGCGATGGCACGCAACATAATTATCGCAGAGCGCGGTACGCTGATCTCGCTGACTCGTCGCGGCAGCCTTGGCCGAATCAATTTTAGTCGGCTAACTAATCGAATCAATTGCGTTCACGGTTAGGCGAGATAAACTGATTTCTTAAACTCGATTAGACTTCGTGGACGCGTGTGCCTCGACTATGCGACAACGGAGTTACTTAATCTGTTTTCTTCGCTAGCCGACGAACGACGCACCAGTTGTGATTTTCGAATCAACGATCGTGTTCGAAATAAACCTGGTTCGCAATCGGTCTGGCTTTGGTCTGGCCTGGCACTTGTCTCGCTGGCCGTGCGACCTCTGGCTGACCACGAGACACCGTGCTGTGCAACCTTGACCACCAGCCACAGCAGATATCGGACGGACTTAATTTCCTTCCTCCTAGCTTCTAGTTTCGGCGGACTAACCAGCTACATCTGAATTCCGGAAGCGGTAGAACTAGTCGATGCGAATATCGTTTTCCATGAAATTCCATCGACTCGCGTCGACGATACTTACGACATTGTCGGACTTGAGCATGTAGGAGGTGAGTGCACCGGCGCCTACGGCACTCGTCACCCCTACCAGCAGCTTCAACGATGCCATTCTTCGTCGCTTCTAGCCGCGACAATCTTCCAGGAAAGATCTGTAAGCAGGAAATATGAAACAATTAGCGATGCGTGTACTCTCTCTCTCTCTCTCTCTCTCTCTCTCTCTCTCCCTCTCCCTCTGCGCGCACGAGTACTCTTCACCAAGTTCACACTTGGCGTGGAAAATATCAATCTGATAGCTTCTATCGTCGTATCTTATCGTTTTCGATTACCTTCGGCTGCTTTTTCCCTTGTTACATCATTGTTACATCATGTCTAGGTCTATTTATTACGTTTTGGAAATCCTTTTAATTGAACGCCTTATCGTGTCTCCGTTCCCTTCTATTTTCAGTAAGTTACAATTCCAGTATTCAATATTTGATTTTCTGATTCACCCGACACTTACCTAAAGCTAAAACCATCGAGTACGAGTAACGAGATAATTCGTTGTTAACTAGCCAACAGGTTAATGAGTCACTTTGCCCGATATTTGGCAGTGTGTCAACAGGTGGGACACGAGTTACGAGTCACGAGTCACGAGTGCCTGGCGTGCGTGCGTGCGTGCGTGCTCGCGTACGTGTGTGCGAATCCGATACACGACCATCGAACGAGCCAAAAGATTCGAATGGTTCGTTGGCTCTTGCACGGTCCACGATTTAAGTTTAAAAGATCGATCGAGATTGGCAACGTTTCCAACGTTCCATCATGATATTTCATCCGCAGCTGATCGTACGTGACAGTATCGATTTTTCTGGTCACGAATCACGTCCGTAATCATGTAGCACAGGCCGTGGTATCGTAGAAAAATCTCGGATATTACAACCGAAATGAATTGTTAGAAAACGGTAATAGTTATTATGTTTTTTGAGAAATCTCCTGACCTAATTTCTTGTGCAGTTGTCTCTCTCTCTCTCTCTCTCTCTCTCTCGATAACAATGTGCCCAGTTGAATGATATTCCCAATGTCGAGACATCGGGCGATTACAGAAAATCAGAAGCGGACTGCGTGCATTAGATTGCGTGTACGATTTTTCGTAATCGCAGAGATAAAGCGTGTCGCGTGTTAGATAGACGAGCAGTAGTTTCTCTCTAGTAATAATTCATCCCTAATTCGCGCTCGGATTGTGCACAAAAATGGACAATTTGAGAAAAGGCGATCGTCGACAGCTATTGAAACGAGACGCAAGGCTCGAACAATCGTATCTCCTCCTCCCAAATTGTCCTTTTCTATGCACAATCCGAGTGCGAATTGGGGAGAATCTATCGTAGAAGGTGTCTCCACAAGACTGAAGGAAATTGAATAAATTCCGTCGTAACGGTTATATTCCAATTAATAAATAATTTGGATAAGTATTAGGACCCGTCGGAAAATCTTTGATTCGTTTGCAGATTTTCGATCAGGTGTGCGCAGGCGTCTAAGGCGACTGTTGTGTCAAAGGTGAACCGTCTAAAGAGAAGTTTTTTTTTGCGTTGTCTATGCGAATTTGCTCGTTGAACAGCATAGTATATGTTTTATTGTTCGAATTAATACAGTACAGGCTAATTAGCGTAAGCAACGTGACGCAGGAAAAAGCCACTGGAGAGGGGTCTGTCTACCTCCGACTCGGGAAACGTATGCAAGTTGATGTTATCGTTCCCATTCGTCGGATGACGGTAATAATACTATTCGGCAATTAATCCCGCTGGCCGACAAACGTTAAACACTTTTTTCATTTGTCCCAATAATTGATTATTATACGAATCTGAACATTTCTAAGTTCCTGTTAACCCAGGTTTTACGCGAAGAGAAAGACCGTGAAGCATGTGTGTGCGTGCGTGAAATGTCGCGTACTCGCTCGGTAAGATCGTGTGTCGAAAAATAATTCACATGACACTGTTTAAGAGACCTTGACAGTCCTCGAAGCACGTGGGGATTATGTAAGCTGACACGATCGGATAACCAGCCAGATCCAGTGTTCTTCATTTCCCTAGTCATCTTTCTTTGAGTATGCGTATACATACGTATATGCACGAACATCGAAAGAGAGAGAGAGAGAGAGAGAGAGAGAGAGAGAGAGAGAGAGGGAGGGAGGATAGACTTGGCTGAAAAGATGATGTATTCTATAATAAAACGCTCGAAAAGCGAGGAAACGAAAGCCTGCGATCGAGGACAATACCTGAACATCCTATTCCTCTATGTCTCTTCGTGCAGAAAAGACACCTTGAAATACGAACAAACTGTGATAAAATACAAAGCCGTAAATATGTCGTAAGGCTGTGTTTGAAAATAGCCAGCCCGCGAATCCTGTGCCAAATTCCTTCATATGTCACTTACATCGTCGCGTTCTCATTTCTATGTTATAGATATGTGCTTTAATAAGATCGAGAGAACCCGTAGCACCGAAAGAACGTCACTGAAATTTTGAGTTTCTTGAATGCAGTAAAACGAGTCTAGACTGATATTGTTTCTAGTAATAGACTAATATCGTTTCATTGACAAATTGATCGAATGCTTTACCTTTTCATTTCAACGGGTTACAGTGATTCGAGTTAGGTTATGAAAATCCTGGCGGAACAAAAGGCTGGTATCTTTGTGCGAACAATAATTAACGGAGTGCTGAAATACTGACTGCGTCGTTGCGTCAACGACGACTAATACAGTTAACAATAAATGGAATGTCATTTCGCGAATGAACGACTTGAAAATCATTTGTATCGCCAATAATGTATCAAACACTTACTGCGAAAGTAATCGACGATGGCTACTCTCTGCTGTCCGGTTCTCAAAAAACAGATAACCGCCGAACTAACAATACGATTCAACGGTGTACATATTCGATGAGGATGCCGGTACACATTTCACTGATTCACACGACCGAGCAGACCGTAGTGTAGTGAACGATCGGAATCAGACAAGAGCTGTGAAAATGTGGCGACACCGTCGCGAACACACGTTAACCACTAGAGGGCTGCAAATTTCTATCCCCTATTCGCATTTCTCGAGACGCGTTTATAAATATTTGATTACTTAGACAAGAAACGTACTACATATCAATGCCGGTCAGTTCGATCAGCAGATTCGATAACAAACGCTTCCCTTTTCCGTCAATTTCTAATTCAAATAGCCCGCCACAGCCCGACCACGATGGCGCCATCCGTGGCGAATCGCTCAAGCTGGTAAACAAGCGATACCGACAGGCAACTGTGGCTGCGCGGGATATGCGCGCACCACGTACCGAAAAGAAACCTTATTTAATTCTCGGTATGTACAAATTATTCACACAATACAGAACATGCAATGTCTATTAACGGAAGCGAAAGTTACATCTGATCGATAAAATTTTAACTTATCATAAAATAGTTTACCAATTAGTTGCAAACTTTTGTGTTAGAAGGCGTGGAAATTATCAACCGCACTTTTGCGTCGGTCATACCGCCCAACAGTTTGGGGTATATTGCCACTGCATGGATACTGGCGCTATTCGAACGTTTCAAAGCAGCAGAAATTTCGTGTCGGAATTTGCATTGTTACTTATGGAACATTATGAAAGGAGTGGCATGAATAATTTTTTTTCAATACTCGATATTCAATATTGGAACATAAAACTGAAAATCCTTTATAACGAATTGATTTGAAAATTCAATTTTTTTTACGAGCTGTCCCTTCGGCAGCGGATGAATGCATGCATCCGTCCTACGTTGTCTTTAAGTAATGATTCACATTAATAAATGATCTTCCCACAGTCGTTTATGAAATCTATATTAAAAACGTATTCCGTTTATTATTGCGTGCAACGAGTGCGTGACACTAGGTCGACGTTCCATATGAAAAATGGCTAGTTTCTACAATCTCGCAAATGAAGAAATTATATTCGCTGAAACTCCTGACGGCGTACTATCCGCGCGGCACTGTATGACTTATACTATACATGCATATATAGACATACAAATGCATACGTAGTGGGTCGAGTGAGCGAGTACGAAACATACCGCGTTATAGGCAGCTATACATACGTAAGTACTGGACTGGACGTCGAGATCGTGACAATAATTCCCCTTCTAGGAAGTGCGACCAGAGAGGGCCAAGGAAACAGCTGTTCTGCTGGATGGTTGCTTTGACAGTGAGGTCGAAGGATAAGCGAATGTTTTATCTACACTTCACGCTTTTAAATGATATCGCGAATATTCCGTGGCGAAAATGAGAATGTCGCAGTCAAGAGAAAACGGCAGATCGACACGCTGAAAATCTTTAACGACAAGTAAGACCATTCGGACAGTCCTGTGTAACCTCTCTCCCATTTTTAACCTTACTTCCGTTAACGAATCTGTTCTCCATTTTTTTGTTTTTTCTTTCTAACAACAGCATCGTAGTAGATTTTTCGACAGGGAACCTTTGGAATCGCTTCTTGAAATGCATGAATAACCGTTTCCTTGATTAGGTGACTCAATAATCGAACGCAATGGACCAGAGGCAGACGTAAATTAACATCCAGTTTTTTATTTGCGCGAGAATTGATATCATCGTTCTTGATGTATGACCTACTCGCGTGATTGCTTTTCGATTACGTTTTATGCGATTTCAATTACATATTGTATGCACAAATTTTTCGGTAGAACGACGAGCATGAAATACTGCTTCCCCCTTTTGTTTGAAAAAATAGAGCTTTATTATATTTTTTCTGTTGTGTTTCAGTGTGGTAGAATTAAGGGAAGATGTCGAATATCAGGTACAATTCAACGCTGGGGAAAGGAGAATGGCTATCATGGTCTCTTTGTCACCGGAGTTTCCGTTGGAAAAGCCAGTGCTTAGGGTTTCTCCACCTGTGAATCATCCTTGGTGCAACGAATACAGTGAAATCACAAGTGCGCCGGGACTACTTAACGTAAGATCTTTCAGACCGATATTTCTACCTCTCGGAACACAGCGGAGACCGTAACAGTCGTGTTTACTATAGTTTACAGTGCACAGCGATCTTGGTCGAGTTGTTCAAGCAATTATCAGAGAGTTCAGTAAAAATCCTCCGCAATTACTGGAAGATGTCTCTCCAGGACCTGTTACATCGCATAGAGGTAAGCTTTCTAGAGCATCCAAATTATTTGGTGTTTAATCTTTGCGTTACGCTATTACAGATTTACAAGGAAGAAATTCCCCGTCGTACTCCCTGCAACACTACTCCGAAATCCCGCAGACATCGTTCAATTCTTATCATGCCACGCAGTACCCACAATTCTCGTCAGCTAGTACAAGTTCTTGTATTTATAATTATAATCAAACAAATGCAGGCACCCAGTATGCCATGGACGGATGCACAAAATTCGGGTCACCATCGCAGCATTCGTATAATCTCTCTGGCTCTAGGAACCAGTCGTTACATGTCAGCGACCCAACAAGATACAATTCCAACCAAGGATCGTATTTGAATTCACATTACGTGAACGCGAACTATCATCAACACTCGTTGACGAATCAGCTGCAGACCAAAGCTCCGCAGAGCGTTGTGTTTCCAGAACTGAACAACTTGAGCAATGAGGAATTGAAGCGACTCAGCGAGGACGACGATAGGTTGGACGAGTTCTTGAACAAACATTCCGAGCTGAAAGACGTTCACGCATCCATCGACGACGCGATAGATTGGGTCCAAAAAACTGCCGGCAAGTTATTTGAATCCCTGTCATTGCACAGTTCGATATTTTCAATTGTTTGTCGGTTCGAAAATCGCTGAGCTCTACCAACTTGTTTTTCAGAGACCAACATTGTCAAAGAACCTGAGCTTAGAGAATTGCAGTCTGACGTAGCGAATAAAGTGCAGACTGTTGCTGCACTGAAGGCTAGATACGATCAGCTGATACAACGATACAATAAACTGTCCGAGGTGTTCACTCCGGACCATATAAAGGAATGTCTGAGAAAGGCGGCAGACGAGAGCCACGAAGAAAGCGAACGGATTGCCGAAGATTTTCTCAATAGGAAAATAGACGTGGAACGTTTCCTCGGCACGTACATTGAGTGTCGGAAGTTGGGTCAAGCGCGGAGAACCAAGGAGGAGAAGCTGGCGCATCAGTTGAACGAATTGAAACGGGCCGGTTATTAAAAGCATAACAGCAGCGTGTATAATCGTCAGTTTTTTTTTTTTTTCTATCAAATCGAACAAACTGTGTAAATAACGCCTAGTTAAATTAAACGATACTGTGAATTCGAATGGCATTCGTGTTTACCAGAAAAATTTACGAAATGCAGACAAAAATATATTCTACTATAATGGCTAAGGCACCTCGCTGACAGAGAAACACTTTTACAACATAATGCTACGTTACATCACACCGCTTGCTACATATCGGAGCTGAGTCGAAATTAGTTCGATACACCGTGTTCATGCATTCCAAACGAATGATTGGAAATAAATTGTAGCTGGAAATCGATTCGAAAAAATTGTTGTGCGCGCCTGAAATGGTACGATAAGAAAGAAAGAGAAGGGGGGGGACTGCGCGTCTGTGCGAAAGAGACTAATATATGTGTGTAACCGCAGAGATCGATTCGATTTCAGATGTACTTATCCTTCCGTGCAGAACGTATTTGTTGAATGGAATTCAGCATGTTTTCATTGCGTAGCATCTCTTTTACTATGTAAATTAGAAGATGTGTGCGCGGGAAAACAACGGATACGTATTAGAACGGTAACGTTTTTTCAAAGATTTTGCTATTTCGGTGATGTTAATTACTTATCCTAAGAATGTTCCTAATACAACGTAGAGATTGGACAAAAGAAGAAACTACAGAAGCGTGTGCGAAGTTTGGAGAATGTGAATATGCTTTCGTCTTTTTTCTAAAGAAAAATTATAGTGTGTATGTATTGTAATCCCCTTGCTAGTTGTCCTGTTAATTAAAAGTAACACGTAAGTTGTAAATAATTTAAGAATAGAAGGAAAAAAAGAAAACACCAAATTTTTAATAAAAAGAAATATAAATTCGACCGTATGATGTTCACGATCGTTTTTCACGATGGTTTTTGACGAAAGGACAATGCGTATAAGTAAAAATGCAACCTAATAATTCTCTTTTATTTACGTACAAACGCTCGTGCTTCGTCGTTAATTCTCTCGCGTACCTGTTCCCTACATTATTAGAAAAATAACATCGATAGATGGAATAGGTTCTCCTTCCTTAAATGCAACACGTTATCTCGCTCTGTCATTAAGTCCCCTCACTAATGTTCCTATCCGGTCGATGTACATGCGGATCAAACGGCAAGAAATACTTGCAAGTGTTAGTTTTCCTCTTACTCTAAATAATTTGACTGCGGAAGTTTAAGCATTATGTTTATGAAAATACTGAAAACGCAGTAAAACAAACTATAAAATCAATTCTCATCGCAATATAAAATTCCAAGTTTGTACGAACGTTCGCAGTCAACTAACAACATGCTCAACTCTTTAAATTAGTGTTCGGACTATCCTACGTTCTATTCACTTGATTAAGGATCAATGAACGAGATCATGATGTATCGAGTACCATTGTTGACTCTGAGCCCTTCGTGGTAATGAGTCAATCTTCCAGGGTGCATCAACATCCAGCCTGGTTTGGTGTCCGTCACAGAACAATTGTATCGAATGAATCTGCAGCCTCCGCCCTCGTAATCCACTCCTGCCCTGTTTAGGGCGATGTTTATCGTGTAGGTGGAACTGTCGTGATGTGGTTTCAATAATGGTTGTTCGTCAGGCCGATATCTCACAACGAAATTCATTAGAGCTCGAGGTGGCTACAACATAAACCTATAATTAATTGCCGAACAGTTGAAATTATTTGTACATACTCCAAGGATTTTTGCCGCACTTGCAGTAAGAATCATTGGAGCCGAGACTACAAGCTGTTGAAATTACAATATAGTTGCAATAATAAATATTTATTTTTTTAATAGAGCCGTTTCTACTCTGTGATACTAAGAGCCCCGATTTGTCTATGCAATTGTAGGAGATACGAAGCCAACGGAACAGGAAGCGATGTGCATCTGATTGGACGAAGTATTAGGGGGAGGAATTAAATTAGTGTACGCATGGTGTACGCCGAGAGGAGACTTATGTGCAATCAGAACGACCTATTCCCGAATTTCTTGAGGTCTTACGCTCGTATAGTAGCCTATAAAAACATGCTCTTGCAAGGGGCTGACATATTCAGTGAGGAAGTACAACCAAGATTCGTGGAAGCCGACTTGTTTCATGTGTATGTCTCGTGTTGGGACGGCTTCGTATCCGCCGTCAATACGTGGATCCTAGAAACGAATCGACGCATGTATTATTAAATGATAGAAACTGATGATCTTACGTCGTGATAATATCCGGTGAACACAAGCTCCTGCAGGGGTCTAACGTACTCCTTTAAGAAGTATAGCCACTGCGGTTCATAGTTCACTTGATTCATATGAATGTCACGGGTTGGTACGTTCTCGTAACCACCCGTTAATCTGGGATCCTGTTGATACGATTGTCCTTTTAGGCGAGAGTTGAACTCATTGCAATTTAACGCATTACAAAGTACAACGTAAATAGAGAATATAATCATAATAGACTGCGTATGTTTATACTCCTACAGATGTTTTTACTACATATATATGTATACTTATATGTATAAATAATATATTTCTGTACATTCTATAAATGCATAAAATCCGCAGTCTAGTCATTAATTACTTTTCATACATTATTTGTTCCATCGGACCACTTTCCATACGCTTCCATAATTTGTACCAACTCCTTGGTAAATCTCTCGTTAACAATGGGGAACCAATATACGTCCGGACAGGGCTGCAATGGAATGATATTGAATTTGGTGAAAAGAAATACGAATATTGATTTCTACAGCTTACCTGAATGGGTGTCTTGTCGGGATTAAAATTCTCTGAATAATTTTCATGTATGTATCTTTTCTCCCAGTCCAATTTGTTGTCCAACATTTGGTACATATCGGGATTGGTCATAGAAATGTCATAACTGTCTGGATTAACGAGATGTCCGAAGTCGACTCTGTTGCTGACATACATGAAGATAAGTCGTTCTCTGTTGGCATGAGCAAAAGCCATATCGGTGTCCATATCCCCCTCCGAGTAGGATGGACGAGTCTCTTTGTTACTGATTAATGTGGCATTGATCAAGTAACAGTTGTTGATGAAGGGTACATTCCATAGCCCCCTGTGAAAGGGATTATTTAATACTTGACATTTTTCTGAAAATATTATTCGTTACTTGAAGTATTCAAGTTAGTTATGATACCATAACTAATCCAAAGAGATTCGTTAGCCAATTAATTCTAAATCTCCTTGAAGCTCTATTCTATTTTTTGTAATCAGGAAATATTAAAAAGGAAGGGTCGATCTCGATTTAAAGAGTGCTTTCGCGTTTTATCATAATGCTCTGATATTTTGATATTCTCAGGAGTTGAAGGCCACCGAAGAAACAAATGCGCACCTACAGGGGATCGACGCGTTCTCTGCTAACCATGAGAGATAGCGTTGTTTTTCAGAGGTCTCTCTCGACGCTTAAATATTTTGTAAGGTAATCGTTCTGAGATCGTGATTGGCCGATGACTACACCGGCAATGGGTTAGGCATAATTATCCAATTGAGATTCATAACTCTGTCACCAATGACAGCATGCATGGTTCTGGTCCATTAAGTGCATGGTCCATTCATATTTTAGACTGTAGGGACGAAAGGAACCCAAAGCCTATCTGAAGAAGTGTCTTTAGATAGTTGCTCAGTCTACGGCGTGCCACTCTGGTTGCAAACACTTATTTGCCAGTATAGTAGCAACAGTTAAAGTAGCAACGAAGATCCTGTATGACGAGATTTAAACGAGACGTTTCTGGATCAGTGTACATACAATAACAAACATCTGTTCTCAAAGTATCGAACGCTGCTCAACCTGGAAGATAGAGTGCGTTAAATGCAATCTGACCTAAACAAATGAGAAAATGGGGACTTGTGTGCCTGTTCTTTGTCTGTTTACTGATCGGTACAGAAACGGCCAAAAATACTGGAATCAGAGGTAGCAGTAGAAGCCGCACCGGAAGAGTCTACAAATCTAGGATGCCTATACTGATTCCTCATCGAAATCCAGCTTGTGCCAATTATTATGAACACAAAGATGTAAGTTATCAATGATTAGTATTATAATTTAGATATTAACAATGCAAGAGAATGTTGAAATATTCGATACCACAGGGAGCAAAAATAGTGAAAGCCTCTCATTTCGAGTTGGATTACATGCTAGGGAGGAAGATCACTTTCTTTTGTATGGCCACTGGAATCCCAAGGCCAGAGATCACTTGGCTAAAGGACGGGATTGAATTGTACCATCACAAGTTCTTTCAGGTACCCTTATTGCTCGGTTTAGAGAAATCCAAACATCATTAAGGTTCAAGGGCCTGCCATATCAATTTGCAGGTGCACGAGTGGCCTGTGGGCAACGACACGCTCAAGTCAAAAATGGAAATTGACCCTGCCACACAAAAGGATGCTGGGTATTATGAGTGTCAAGCCGATAACCAGTATGCTGTTGACCGACGTGGTTTCAGAACCGATTATGTTATGATCACATACTGAATCCTTTAAAACTCTGACAGCATCGGCAACATGGGTCTCCTACTCTAGAAATAACAAACATTTCTGAAATAATTTTCAGACCACTGGAGTTTAATTGTTTATAAGGAAGTAATAAAAGAGAATGGAAATAAGCGTTTCAGATCACTGATGAGTAATCCTCCTTAAGCTCTACGAGCCTAATTGCTTATCACTGAAATTGCAACGAATTTGCGTAAGTGAAAAATAAATCAGCTTTCTTTAAAACCCAAGTTCCACCAGAGTCATTAAGAATTTCAACGCGTGATGGCACACGTTGGAAATTCATAGTTCCCCCAGCTCTCGTTCATTAAATCACAATTGGCTCTCATAGGGGTGGTACGCGTCTGGTCTGGGAGGAGTATAACATTCAGAACGGTTCACCGCTTGCAAACCTATCTATTATAATAAATTATTGAGAGATCAAAAAGTTCTTCTAAAAACAAGAAAATGCACTCTAACAAAAAATCTGAAGAAAGTCAAAGCTAAATTGAAATTAGTTACAAATATTGACTGAGTTTTTTACTCAACAACTTTATATGCCTTTAATGTCTAAGACGCTAAAAATTAATTAACAGTAGCAGTAACGGTAACGGTAAGCCGGTGTGTTCAGTTTTGTCTTTAATTTAGCACCGTTTGATCGCGTTTGCTCGGCAGTGGGTCCATAGTACTCCATCGTGTTCTGGTTAAATTGGATTTGAAATTCATTGATCACTGCAACGTAATAAGTGTCAAGAGAATAATCAGCTCTCACGTGTACGCTACACAAGTGCTGTTCCCTAGTATTTGCCTATACGTTTGTAACAGATAGGAGAGGACACTAGGGGAGTAATGATTAGGCGACTGTCAGTTACATCGGAGTTCCGTGTGATCATCGTACGTTGCCTGTTCTGTTCGGTGAGTATCAGTCAGAAAAGCGTATAGATGTACCGAAACACATCAAAGAATTTTAAATTCCTCACTAATTTTAAGTTCCCGAAAAATGTCTTTATAATTTTCAATACTAATGTAGAATTGCTTGGTTTGTTGTTTTCAGACTACTGCTGCAAAGATCCTCAGTCATTGACCTAGTCATGCCCCGCTCTATGATGATGTTAGTGTTGTTGCTCATTCTGTTATTAAATAGCCAGGAGATTCTTGGACGTAGAGGACGTACCAGAGGTAAAACTAGATCGCGTCTCCAAATAGGATTGCCTATAACTGGAAAATACCGTGATCCAGAGAGCGATCAATATTACAATAATAATAATGTAGGTAAATCCACCAAAATTTCTCCCTTCTTCTGAAACTATTTCTTGAGAGTTCTAACCGAATGCCTCTCCAGGGTGCTAAAATACTGTTGGCGTCGCACTTTGATCTAGAGTACGTTCTGGGTCATAAGATTGCCTTCCTCTGTGTTGCACGTGGTAATCCACGCCCACACATTACATGGTTCAAGGATGGAGCCGAGATTTACAGCCATCTCTACCTACATGTATGTATATTACAATAACTAGCATAGCGAACAAACCGTGTAACCGATTGAACACGTTCAGGTACACGAATGGCAAGTTGGACCGGATAAGGTGAAATCAAAACTAGAGATTGATCCTGCAACTCAAATGGACGCTGGAGTGTACGAGTGCTCGGCTGATAATATGTACAGCATCGACCGCAGATCCTTCAAGACTGATTTTTCTATTGCTTTCGATTAAGTTTGACGCTTCTCTCAGCGACTAGCGCGAGTAATTATAGTTTGAAACCGAAATGGAATCCTTAGAATATGTATAATACATATTACATTACATGTTATAAATATATGTAGAATTATTATATGTTACGTTAGAAAATAAATGCACTTTACAGAGAAAAGGAGAATTTTAGGCACTCACCTTCTTTCGTTCTTTACGATTTCGAGATAATCGAAACTCCTGGCATAAAATCCGTCGTCCATAATTGCACCCCAGAAGTTGCTCCACATTTTGTATGGCCTGACCAACAACGGTGCAACGATTCCTCGTTGCTGCTCCACCAGCAGCTTCAACGTGTACTCGTTGTCCAAATGTGAAATTGAATCGACAGAGAAATATCCAGAACATTGCTTCAGCAAACAGTAGTCCCTGCAAAACAATCGACTGCTTGGATCTCGATCGAATGGACATCAAAGTAGTGGAGATTATTTGTCTTTCGCGCATACATTGCCAAGTTCCTCGCATCGACTTCGTTAACGTTATCGCTGGCAAGGATTTGCTTGTAGCTCCTGTATTCTCTCGCGTGCTTCCTCATGAACTCATTTGCGATGGGCTGATGGTACTCTACATTGTTGCGAACGAATAGATGCAGCTTTGATTTTGGATAAGCTTGATTATATATCAGTCCGAAAAACTCTTCCAAGAAAGGAGTGGACCTCTCAATGAATATGGCGATTACTACGACCGGGTATGTTTCTGGCATTGTTTTATTCAGTTCTATCGTGTCTTCCCAGCACATAACGCACCCTGTCTCAGAATTCCAAGCCTGAGCCAGATAATTTCCTAACGAATTTAAAGACAATTTGCTATGACCATTTCCGTGAAGAATCAATGGTTTTGTGTTGTAAACGCTATTGACGAGCGAAGCTTTTCCACCCTCGAATTTCAACTCCACGTCAGCTGTTAACAACAATTTTGTTAGTACTTTTCTTAGTAACGATTGTAATCGATAGACATTAATCACATACCCACGGCTGCATAGAGATTATGAAATATGTCGGATTTATGATCCAACTTAATATTATGCTTTTCTCGTAAATTCTCATCGAGGTAGGCTTTAGTAAAGAACAGCTGATCGTCGTCTGTGTTTTCTATAGCAGCATAATGTAGAATTTCATAGATATCTGAAAAATAACCGACGAAGCCTCCTGAATTTAGAAAACGCTTCCCTTGCGTCGCGATCGGATACTTGGATGCTAGGGATTTGTCTGGCCAACACGATCCCTCCGCAGAAAATAATATTCTGGCATTCATGTTTTTGAACTTGTCGACTATTTTTGCTAAGCCACCCAAAAATATCACATCGTAACTAGAACAGTATAATTGTCAATTCTTAACTGTGATTACGATTTTATTGCAATAACTTGCAATCTGTGTCAGGTGCAAGGGCTTTTAAGTCGAAACCTGTCTGTAAATAATATAATCTTCTCTTTGTCGTCTTTATAGTTTTCCAGAGCTTTCTTCAAAAGATTAATTTTATATCCTCCTCCTGCATGAGTCATTATATTGCCGCCTTGCCAAGTTTCTCCCATTCCCAGCACGTTCAAGTTATTCCGAAATCCATAGGTATCCACGGATGAAAGATATCTCCTGTACCCATCAGTTTCGGCAGTAGCAACAGTAAATACTAGTACATCTGGAACACATGCAAAAAGAAACGGTTGAATTAGAGAGAATTTAGAACCGTGGTTAAATAAAGTGTGCAATTTTATCGAACACCATTACATATTTTAAAATCTGTAACATTCAACAGTCCATACAGATATAGACCAATTATTTTAATAATGGCAAATAATTTTTAAGAAAATAATGAAAACTTGTGTGAATAAATATCTGCTTTGAGAAATTCTGGTTCCCACAGTACCAAAAATACATATATCAGGCCTTGAATATAGTAGTGTACACGCGTTTTCAATCTCAAACACGTTTCTTTTTCAGGGTGTGACGAATTGTATGGAGGATGATCTATTTCTGGTGTAATAACATCAATGCATGGGCTCGTCCATGGTTCTCATAGCCGCTGCCTTTTCGTCGTGACATCATCTGAATGTAATATATATCGAACAGGTCGGGTTGCGATGCGTATCACGTCATTTCTCGAATTGTCGTACATACTAATCACAAGTAATTCGGTAATTAGTTTATGTCAATCAACTGTGTTCCTAATCAATGAAAAAATCCAGCAATATCTCAACTATATGAGAATCTCTGTTTAAATGAAGCACATAATATCGGAATATTAGTGCTGCGTGGGCACACGCGTGCTCGCACACACATTCGTTTACACACATCATGTCCTTGTAACAAAAAGTCTTCTATATGTTTAAATGAATAAACAATGAACGGATGATCTAGTCAGTTGTTAGTTCTGATTAGTATCGCTCTTAGAATCGCTCAAATGTAAGAGTAATGAAGTAATTTTTGAGTAATGAAGAGGTCTATCTAGTTGAAATTTTCAGGATAATTTGTACTTATTGGATACTCACTGATTCTGGGAATCAGACCGACAGATGCATGTCAAGATTCCGTAATCACGTAGGACGTAGGCCAACGGGGAATCTAACCGGAAATACAGAGATACTACTCGTACTCGGTCTACTTAACCACCGAAACAGAAGATCCAAGAATCGAATTACCGTTTTTGTTGCGTGTACGCGGTCATAAAAAAGATAACCGGTCAATTGATAATTGAAATTATTCATAAAAAATGTGACGTGACTTTGCTTCTGCGAAAGAATTACAATCAAAGAAGCAAACACAAATTATTATGTCGATCGGATTAATCGGCCAATCGTTTATCTGGCTTGGGGTCCAGTTTCCAGTCCCATGGTCGCCGGTTAAAAGA